ACTCATAGGGCATGCAGATGGAGAAGTTGAATGAGAAAACATACACATGTATGTACAGGTACATATACATAGGGCTTGAAGCTGGCAATAGTTATTTCTTTGTTTTGGTTTTTGGTATATATAGTATATAGGATAGCTTCACAATTCCTGGAGAAACATTTATAAAAATACAGGCTGTGGGCTAAGAAAACGGCTTGGTCAGCACTTACCTTGTCAGTACCTACCTTGTAAACATGAAGACCCATATTCAAGACTTGGAACCCATATTGGAAAAACTGCCAGCTTCACCTTGTAACATGCTCCATGCGAAACTGTGTCTTACAAAGTAAGGCAGATGGCATGGCACCAGAGGAATGACCCTTGAAATGTAGCTGTGGATTCCATCCACACATTCACCCTAGCACACCCTTACACACACAACACAGAAGGCACCACACACACACACCACACACACACACACACACACATGAATGCACACACACTTGCATACAGAAGAAAGACAGAAACAGAGTCAGAGAGACAGAGATACAGACAGAGAGAAGGAAAATAATACAGAAAAGGAGGGAGAAAGTTCTCAGGGTGCTTCTGACAGTGAAGGCAAAGCACTAATTACCTCATATGAAATATAACTAGAAGTCATACTGTTGTTACCCCTCGAGTTTTCCTCCTAGGAGTTCGTTAAACTTCTATACATGTATGTGTACCCTCTTCAGATCCAAACTATAGATGTAATCACTGCCTAAATTTGTAAACAACAACAACAATTAAAAAAAATAAAATAAAAAAACCAGAAAGCAAAACTAACTAACAGAATATCACTTGTCAACTGGCCAATCTTAGTGTGTCATTTTGAACTCTCGCAGACAGCCTTGGGCTGAATTGAACTTCTGTTTGCTTGTTTACTTGCCTAGCACTGGGGTTCAACACCCCGGGGCCTGTGTGTGTGCCAGGCGATCCCTCTCCTCCTGAGTAACATCTCATATCCATACAGACAAAGTCCTACCATGAGAGTGCCAAGAGGGGTCAGAGAGGGCAATGAAACAGGAGACAGAAATGAAGTTAGGCCGTTCCCGAGATGAAGTGCCTCCTCACACGCCAAGTGTCTCTGCCTCCCAGGCACATCTTCACTTAGCACCCATCATCCATGCTGCAGCCATTTTAGAGCTGAGAAGAAGAACGGAAGCCAGAGCGATTGTTACAACTTGTCAGTCAACACACTTCCCATAAACAGAAACCCAGTTCCCTCAGAATCCAGCCTGCCAATTCCACTTACTTCTCCGGGCCACTTTGTAAACAAGGTGACAGCTAATGCTGTCATGGGACACTTATTATGTCTGCAGACTGTATTAACTCAGTTGCTCTCGACACAGTTTGCTAATGTCGTGTCACCCACATTTAAGCAATGAAGCAATCGAGAGAAAAGTAAGACGACCTGAAGGACTGCCTTGTGGCCGAGCTAAAGTTTGGCTTCAGGCTTGTCTAATGTAGATCACATTTTCCCCTTATTGGTTGGGAAGTTGAACCAAAAATTTATGGAATGGGTACAGAAACTTGCTGGGTCAAAAATCTGGAGGTGAGGAGAAGCCATGGAAGAATGAGGGCCGTCCCAACAAGTAGATGAGGTAGCTTCACACTGTCAGGATAGCCTGGGAGGCCATTGTGCAGGAAAGGGAAAATGCTTTGAAATTCAGCAACTCAGAGGCCCTGGGAAGCAGCAGAGAGGTGTTAGCTCCAACCAGAGAGAAGAGAGGGTGGGAGAGTCCAAACACATGGAGCAAATGTAAGGGGCTTGACTTAGAAGGCGGGGGATTTAAAAATAAAGTTTGAGTAGAAACTTGATTTGCTTGTTTGGAGGGAAGAGGTAACCTTACACTTAAAGTTGAGGTAAGTATGGAGATGGTTTAAATATAAGAAACAAAGGTGGGGAGCAAGAAAAATCTAGAACTTTGATCTAGGACATTTTCAATACCTGGAAAGAAGGCTATCGTTATCAATGAAACAGGAAACAGAAATGAAGTCAGGAGGTAGGAGGGGGAGGAGGGTAGGGAGGTCATGTGCTGTATTATTCACTGTTAAGTGCATGCATAAGCGTGTGCGCACGCATTCTGTGTGTGTGTGTGTGTATGTGTGTGTGTATGTGTGTGTGTGTGTATGTGTGTATATGTGTGTGTATGTGTGTGTGTATGTGTGTGTATGTGTGTGTGTGTGTATGTGTGTGTATGTGTGTGTGTATGTGTGTGTGTATGTGTGGTGTGTGTGTGTGTGTGTGTGTGTGTATACAATCAAGGACGTGGATTGATGAGGAGAGCCAGCAGAGTAAGAAAGACATTAGCCGAGCATGCTAAGATGACACTGGACAGACACAGGGAGCAAAGCCACGCCATGGCTGAACTCTGTAACATATGGCGCGGCTTTCAGAGTTAGCAGACCAGATACCAATTTTAGAATCTAACACAGCGTTACTACTGAAACAGAAGGATCTCCAAAAGCAATGTTTATTTTTGAACCAGCACCCATTTGGACCTCATTGACCCTCCCCACAGCTGAAGCGGCCCTTGCCACATACAGGTTCAGTTCTTCACCTCACCATCATTTACCTTCCCCGTCTATCCATATTAACTGTTTTCCTACACAGTGCTATCTTGGCAGTCTGTAGAAAGCTTTAAAGAATTCATGCTTTTATTCAACACCATGTGCTAAACCGTTTCAAATATATTTGTGTTCTGGGGAAGCTAAACAGACCATAGAGAGACTAAATAGTGTATAAAAAACACACATTGCCAGGTTGAGTAGAGACAGGGGTCAGGGGCCAGGACAAGCAGGCTGGTCTTCTGAGGACTGACTAAACAAGCACACCCAAGCTTATCACAGAAGGGCAGGGTTTCTACCCGGAGTACAGCAGGTCAGAATGCACTGGGGAATTACACATTGAGAGGATTGTTCAGGATGCTGAGGAGAATGTCACTGAAAGCAGGTCTATCCTCGGCAACAGACATCCACCCCAACCAGTCCTTGGTGTAAACATCATGTGTGTGTGAAGCAGCAGTTTATTCTTTGGATCAATTCCAGTTACTGTTTCTAAAAAGCACAGTAATAACTCTCAAGCCCCTCCCCCTTAGATGACCTCATCTAGAACATACTTATGGACCCAAGAGGATGACAGGACCAGGATTAACCTGTGATGAGGAAAGCCAGGACCACTGAGGAGCCATCCTTGTCAGTTCCTCAGCAGAACTATGTGGGTCTCCCTTCAGTATTCTCAGAATTTTTAAACAGCGAGAAAATATTTGACGAATTTTTGGCAATCAGCGGGTCAGACAGAAGAGCCACACGATGAGGGTGTGTAATCTGACATGATTAGACAAGGCTCTTTAGTACCAGAACATTCATAATGACACAAAGAAAGAGTACTAATAACACTTTCGTAGCAAGGCAGCTAGCCATTTTATATTTCCTTTCTTTAATCTTAGTGTTTTTCAACAAATCGTGGGATTTAATAGCGTGTTTTGGCAGATTAGAGGATTTATGGCCCAGATGTTTTTTGTTCTAAAAATGGATTAGGGTGTAAAGTTTGCTGGAATTCGTGGAGCATGTTGAGGCAAGCCGGTCATTTTATGTGTGATTAGTGCCTGCCTTCTGTCTCACAGTCCCTCCATCTGTCACGGCTCACCAATGGATCTGGTTAGATTTAGCCTTGTGTCACAAACAAGTCCCTTTTCTGGGCAATTTCATATCACAGATCCATCTTAGGCCATTTTATGCCCCAGTTAAAAGATGGGGAGTGAGCAGCAGAATATTAGCCATCCTTTAAATAGTTGCAAAATACACTGGGATTTTTATTTCCCCTCAATTTTCTTCTACCCTAAAATAATGTTCTGTACAGCAATGCAGAGCCAGTAAGTAAATGACCAGCAGTTTCGTTGAGATCAAGTTAATATCACCTTAGTTCCCTCCCTCAGTGTTCTTTAAGACTATTTTGGCAGAGACCTTGACTAAGCCTGGGTCAGGGAGTTTTAGACCCAAGCTGGCTATCGAGACTGAGTTAACAGAGGCTAGAGTTAACACTACCCACGATGTCTTACGATTGCAGGTTCTTGGTCATATTCTGTGCCTGAGGTGATCTCGTGCTTAGGAGTTTAAGTCCACAGGAGATCACTACCACCTGTAGATTATGTCCAGAGCAAGTGGGTTTATAAGGGGGGAAAGCACTGCTTTCAGTCAGCTAATAATGCCTTATTCCATCTGCCACAGGCCTGATTGCACTAGCCATACACTCTGACCTGAATTTTCAGATACTCTGAGAGGCTTGGGAATCACAGTTGCTATGATCAACACATAGATCTTAAAGGGCAATGGACTGGACCCCTGTTTTTCGTATGTTTAAACTTTGGAATACTCTAGTCTTAGGGCTGAAATGGGGGCTCAGTGGTTAAAAGTATATACTACTCTTGCCGAGGAGACAAGTTTGGTTCCCAATAGCCATGCTACATGGTTCACAGCTGCCTGTGACTCCAGTTGCAGGAAATCTAAGGACCCCCTCCTGGCCTACGTGGACACTGCATATATATATATATATATATATATATATATATATATATATATATATTCAGACATACATACAAATACAAACACATACATGCACAGTTCAAATCAAGTTATCAAATTCAATCTTTAAAACATATTCAGGCATTGACTTAAATACTTAGGTAAAATTTTATTCTAAATGTGTGAGCATTTAGAAGCATCCAGACATGGTGTTGAGCGTGGTCTTTCCTACTGTGGGTGTTTTCTGGTGTTTTCATATGTGACTGGGTGACCCAGTCATCACCAATTGGATGCTTACTCATTCACTCATTCGACATGAGTCCCACGAAGACATCAGGGACCCTCAGGTCCCGGTGGCCACCACAGCACACACACCTAAACGAGAAATGGCCGTGGCAGACACCAGCTTCACCCTTTCCCATGCACTTGGTACATCTATTGTGTCTCATTCCCAGGTTATTTAAATGACCACGATGCTGTCACCAAGGCAATCCAAGAAGCTCGCCAGATGAAGGAGCAGCTCAGGCGAGAGCAGCAGGCGCTGGATGGGAAGGTGGCCGTAGTGAACAGCATAGGTCTCAGCAACTGCCGGACAGAAAAGGTGAGTGGGGGCAGCGACTTGCTCTCTCTGAGTGGCTGCGAGTGCCAGGATGCCTCCTTTTCTCCCACAGGCTTCAGAATTGTCTCCTTGTCCCCTCCCCCACCAACAGGGAACTCCCAGGGGCCCATCCAAGCATCAGACCACCGCATCCCCAAACCTTGCTGGGGATGAATGTCGCCGCTTTTCCTGCCAGGCTATATTAAAACGAAGTGGCATCTGAAATGCTGCATCCGAGGGAAAGTTTTGCCTTCCAGAGATGCTTAACTCGTACGTGGGGGATCAGCTGGATTTGAAAAACACGGAATCTTCTTTAGTCAGCCTAAGCTTGGATGATACCCCGGCTCCTAAGCCTGTCATCATGTTGCCACTGTCAAGTGTTAGGGACTGCAGACTTGGAAAGTTTGACTTCATCATGATTCGAAATAGGCTTTGACCTTCTGTATTCTACCCAAAGCCAGCAGAGCTTCTGGACTAGCCAGGGACATGATGGTTTCATGCCTTTTCATTGGAATGTAAGCTTTGTTTTGCTTAGGAAAAAAAAAAATACGTGACCGTAGCATCCTTGGAGTGGTGGGCTTTTTTAGGTATTATCTGAATGAAAAATGTTGAATGGTGACTGAATCCTCCTCTTCCTAACTGATGCTGTAGGTGAGGGGTGGGAGTATGATCAGCTATTTAACAATGGTTTACACATCTGTCCTCCTGGGGTGCACGGAAGTCCCGTGGAAACGTCTCTGAATGAGCAGCTTACTCCTGTGGCTAGTTCTCTGGGTTGCCATGTTCTAAATGTATTTAGGTGAGTCAGTACCCTGCGTATAGTGCAAGTGAGCTCGGGCCATGACCGTGGCCAGCTGTTGTAGCTCCCAGGCCAACAGCACTCACAACTCTTGTAGCCTAAGTGAGACATTGGGACCAGAAGGGACAGAAGAAAGATACACGGTGGCAGCCCTAAGAAGGAATGATAGCAAGCAGAAAGGGATTTATGTTCAAATATTTAAACATTCTTGAAAGAACACTAGAAACCCTTTCCCCTGCTCCCCGCGTAGAAATGAGTTTAACACTCGGCCAGATGCTAACGCAAAGTGACGGGAGCTATTCCTCGCAAGCATAGCTAAATTGCCACTATTTGTTAAGCGCTTCGAGTTCAGCTGTGGATGCAGCCATTGGTTGCGTTCTGTGAACATCTGTAAACCGCCCCCGCCCCCCCCTCACCACCACCTTGTTTCTAATTCTCCAAAGCAGAGACAATTCTACCTATCTCCCCCCGCCCCCGCCCCAGTCCCCTCCCTTGCGCTGGCTGGGAATTGTCAAGTGACAACCAACCAAATCCTTTTGGACAGGAAGCCTTCATCCCGAATTCTATATACTCCGCAAAATAGGCCTTGTGGTTGGATCCGGGAGCCCATTAAAAGCACTTTGATGGTATGGAAATCCATCTTCATGAAGTTCCCGGAGCCCCTAAGCAGCAAGCTGTTTAGCTGTGGCTACAGATCAGTCATTCACATCGGAGGGCAATAATTGTGCTGACGGCTTGTGCGGCAACAGGAGTACATAAAATAATCCGGGGCCCTCCACCACTGCAGAGCGAGTTAATCTTCGCTAATTCGGATCAGCTGTTGCTCTCACGCATGCGCCAGCACTGGCTTCAGAGGCTCCACAGTCTTCCCATTAAGCAACAGCAATGCAGCCCTCTGCACTCACCCTGGTCCAGGCTCATCCACAGCAAGGGGCCCTGGCGGACACTTCTCATCCACATCCACACCCACACCCGGGAGCATTTGCCTTTACCTCTCCGGTTAGTGCCTTCTGCCTTAGTGGCAGGCGTGGCATTCGTTATCTTTGTCGGGAGACGCACCCTCAACTTCCCTCCCTCCTTGGTAGAGCTGTAACATCAGTTTTGTAAAGTCTACTTTTGAAGTAATAACCTGCCTATTCCTGTTGGCCAGCTCAGTCACTGTCACCGCCAACCACCTCATTGGACAGCTGAGTCACCAACGGCAACCTTGGGGTCATTACTGATTGGCTGTAAACTCTTCTTAATGTTTTCATCTTTCTAGATTTTTTAAAAAAATATTATAATTAGACAGCTCTGTGTGTGTGTGTGTGTGTAGTGTGTATGTGTGTGATATGTATGTGTATATGTGTGTGTATATGTGTATCTGTGTCTGTATGGGTATGCGTGTGTTGTATGTATATTTGTGTGTGTGTGTGTATCTCTGTGTGTGTGCTTGTGTGTGTCTGTATGAATGTGCATGTATGTTCAGGTACCCACAGAGCCCTGGAGCTGGAGTTACAGGGAGTTGTAGACTACCCAACTTGGGTTTTGAGAAGCAAACCTGGGTCCCCTACAAGGATGAACCATCCCTCTATACCTATAATTCAATCTTGAACTTGTTTTTATTTGCTTTGAAGCACAAATATTAAGTTATGAAAACTAAGCCTTTCTGTCTAATGTGACAGTGTGTGACACATCTTTCTATAAGAGGAGACAGCCAGAGGGTATGAATCAGCTTCCTTATGGGACACCAACCCTGCAGAACCCTGAGTGTACCGCAGTGCTTGGCAGCAGGTAGCATCATGCTCTCTGGCCGCCTTTGCCTGTTGGGCAAGCCTGGATGTCAGTTCTGTGCGGATCAACCTATGTCTATGTAGCCTACAGGAAGATGATGATAATGTCAAGCTTGCGTCTTTGAATAAGTGATTAATGAGTGTTCATACCTTCTGTGGATTACTGACTGTCCTGTGTGCAGGGGCCTTAGGTTTGAACCACAAAATATATAATCTCTCAGTAGTTTAGGTAAAATTATCAATCTATTAATTGCATACTATTGTACGTGAGTCCAGAACCCAGGTTACTTAGCATGTCCTATCAATTATTGATCTGTGAAGACAAAGCTGAATACTTGCTTCATGAGGAAATGTCACCCCGTACCTTAGTTGTCTTTCCCTGGTCCCCGACAGTCTTGTAATCCTGCAGCTTCACCTATGACCAGTTCACGTGCAGCTCAGTGGTTAACTTGAGATGTCCTGTTTCAGTTCCCAAAGAAAGGCATTGGCAGGATGTGGGATATCACAGTCTCCGCTAGCATGTTCCCATGCTATTTGAGGTCCCCAAAGAATGCTATTTGCTACCTTTAGTAACTGTTCCTGGGTTGGAGAGATTGCTCCATGGTTATCACTGGCTGATGCTCTTATAGACACCCGTCCTGATTGCCAGCACACATGTCAGATGGTGGTAGTGTGAATTCTAGCTCCAGATCTACCCTTCTTCTGGCCTCTGAAAGGCAGCTACATACATGTGCGTGTGCGCATGCGCACGCACACACATACACACAAAGTCTGTGATAAATAGAAGACTAAAGTAAGGCAGAAGTATGAAAGGTATAGGGACAGAGCAGAGGGGACTGAAAAGGACAAACTCCAGCCTTGTGTCACACAGGGACCCATAGAAATGTTAGGTAGTTGTCCCCATGATCCAGAAAATTAAAGTTCTCTGCTGGAGATCTGTTCCCTCAGGTGCACCAACCTTGTGCATGGTGACTCTTCTTCACGTATGAAAAGCATGGTTGTCCCAAGCAGAAGGTCTCGATTCTACGTAGCTGTAATTGGCCAGCAAAAACAATTAGAGGTGTGAAGACAAGGACGAATGTCTGCCGGGTGATATGTACCAAAACACATCATGAAAGTCGTTTTTTTTTTTTTTTTACTGAAACACATTTTAATTGAAGACTTCTAAAAGATTTTTTCACTTCTTTACTTTTCTTGGAAGTGTTTCAACATACCCAAGAACTGTGTGTGTCAGGTTTCTTGGAAACTCTGGGACACAGTGTTATTTATAATTGTCATCTCTGGGTAATTATAGACTGATTGTATATTCAAATAATGCTATCTTATGCCACAGATCTCTGCTACAGATCTCTGCTACAGAGGTTTCTGCAGCAGAAACCTCAGTGTCAAGGGTGGAAAGGGAGGCATCTCAGGTAGGAAGAAACAGGGGTATTTGAAGCTCTGCTTCCTCGACACAGACAGGGTATAGCCTGCACCACACAGCCAAGTAGACAGCAGGCTCTCAGTCTAGACTTGACAGTATCTGTGTGCACTGTAGATCATAGAGCCTGACTGTGCTGATCCCACCAGGCCATGTGACCACAACAGAAACTTCAGCACACCTAAGAGGAAAATCTGACCAAAAGGTCGCCATATCATTTCTCTCCTTCCAAATGTGAGAGTGAATCCCACACTGTCGTGTGTTTAGAACATGTTTTCCAACAAACAAGAGGGGATCTAAGTACAGGAACGTAAGCAAATGGTGTTTAATCACTACCAAATAAGTGTATTCAGATGCAAGGTTGACTCATCCTTTTGTGCCCCTCGATTTTTCCCTTTGGGTCACAAGAGTGTTGTTGCACCTACACTAAACCATCCACACCTCAGGGAGGGGTACATTCTCTCCTTGCTAAACCATTCTCCACTCACATAGTGTTTTGCCTGCTAGCTAGCTTCTGCAAACATCCTGTTGGCTAGAGGTGGGTCACAGGAATTTAAGGGAACTCCTAATCAAGAAAATGCACACTGTTTTACGTTGGACACAAATCCTTTTTTGTAATGGAATTAGATAATATCTTCCTCCCAAGATCAAGGGGCACTTTGAAATCAAAGATGATCTTAGTAGAGTAAAAAAAAAACTATCAAGTAGGCATTAGATAGGAAAAAGCAACAGTCAACCCAGCAACACCATACAACTGCCCTTGGCAGTCTCAGGTGCCGTCTTTACCAGGCTGGGCTCATCCTTATGGTCCTTCCCTACCTCTAACTCTTCCAGCACTGCACACCCAGGGCCTTATAACTCACCCATGACTCACCAAAGGTCAGCAAATGAAAGCAGGGACACAGGGAAACATTGCCTGATGACAATGTCCCTCCTTCTTCCATACATGTTAAGGCAGACTTCTGCCTATTCGTCCCATGTAAAGCATGTAAAATAAAGTAAGCATGAAAGC